GATAGATAGATAGATAGATAGATAGATAGATAGATAGATAGATAGATGATAGATAGATAGATATTGATGGATAAATGGATACATAGAGATAGATGATACAGATAGAGATAGAGGATGGATAGATATAGAGAGATACTGTAGATAGACAGACAGATAGATATTGACAGATATTGATAGATGGATACATAGATATTGTTTTGTGGGTAGATGGATACATAGAGATAGATACAGAGATATAGGATGGATGGATACAGATATAGAGAGATACTGTAGATAGATAGATAGATGGATAGATAGATATTGATAGATGGATACATAGAGATAGATATTGGTAGGTGGGTAGATAGATGCATAGAGATAGATGATAGATGGATACAGAGATAGATATGGATAGATGGATACATAGAGATAGATGATAGATACAGAGAGAGGATGGATACAGATATGGATAGAGGATAGAGGGATAGATACTGTAGATATATTGATGGATGGATGGATACATAGAGATAGGTGATAGATGGATACAGATAGATACTGTAGATATATTGATTGATAGATGATAGATAGGTAGAATAACTTTATTGTCACTTTGAATAATAAGTGACTTTAAGGTAGAATGAAGACAGACAGACCAGCAGAAAGAGATTGATAAACAGAACAACTTGCTTCCCGGAGTTATGGTTGCTCCATCACTGTTGGTCAGAGGGTTGGACTAGAAGACCTCCAAGGTCCCTTCCAAACCTGTTATTCTATGATTCTAAGACATTTCCATGCAGGTTTTTTTTGGACCAGAGCATGGAAGTCATTTGGCTTGGCCTCTTTCCGAAAATCTTTTTCAGCTTGGCAGCTACATTTGTAATCCTGGCATTTCCTGGTGATTTGTTCAGATGCCAACCAGGAGTGACTCAGAATGTGTTTTTAATCTCCCAGTTGTAGTCTACAGCCCTTTGTATAGGGAGTCCTCGACTTAACAGCCATAAATTGAGTCCAGAATTTCCTTTGTGGAATGAAACATTTCAAGTTAGTTTTGTTCCATTTTATGACCTTTCTTGCCACTGTTGTTAAGTGAACTGCTGCCGTTGTTCATTTAGTATTACGGTTTTAAGTGAATCTGGCTTCCCCAATGTTGGCTTGTCTGAAGGCTGCAAAAGGGGATCACATGACCCCAGGACACTGCAACCGTCATAAATATGAAGCATCTTCCGGAAGATTATAATAATTAATGGAATGGAATGGAATGGAATGGAATAGAATAGATATTGGAATGAAGGAATAGAATAGAATAGAATAGAATAGAATAGAATAGAATAGAATAGAATAATGGAATGAAGAATAGAACAGAACAGAATAGAAAAGAATACAGAGTGGAATGGAACGGAATAGAATAGAATAGATATTGGAAGTAAGGAATAGAAATAAGAATAAGAATAGGATAGGATAGAATAGGATAGGATAGGATAGGATAGGATAGGATAGGATAGGATAGGATAGGATAGAATTAGAAAAGGATTAGAAAAGAATAGAATAGAATTCTTTTATTGGCCAAGTGTGACTGGACACACAAGGAATTTGTCTTTGGTGCATAAGCTCTCAGTGTACATTAAAAAAAAAATGCTCATCAAGGATCATAAGATACAACAGTTAGTGATAGTCATAGGCTACTAATAAGCATCAGATCATACTAGGGAACAAATAAAACAATATAAATTACTATTATTATAATCTTCTGGGAGATTAATCTATATTAAGCGCAATTAAGCGCAGCATATGTATGAATGTGTATATGTACACATTTGTGGATGCATGCACATACAAGACTAAAAATTGAGATGGGGAAGTTATGTCCCAACCTCATTTTTTGCACCCCTAAAGGAAGACTCCCTATTCTATTTTCATTTTCTCTGGGAAAAAGAAACATATGGAAAACATACGTTTAAACTGGGTTTAATCCAATTAAACAAATACACTCTTCCCTTATGTAACAAAACAAACTAAGAAATCCTTACCTGGATTCGCCCCAAAAATTAACCCTTAAATGTAGCCTAACAAAACAGTTGCTGCTTGTTCACCTGTAACAGTTCTTGGTTTGCAACCATTTCATTTAGTGACTGGAGGCTGTCCTCGACTTATGAACACAATTGAGACCAAAATTTACATATTGCTAAAGGAGACATTTGTTAAGTGTGCGTTGCCCCATTTTACGATGTTCCTTGCCCCATCATAAATGTGAGTCGGTTGATAAGTGTTTGAATTTTGATTACGTGATAGCATCCCCATAGTCACCTGATCAAAATTCAGATGTTTGGCAACTGGCTCCTATTTACGACGGTCGCAGCATCCCAGGGGCCACGTGATTCCCCTTTTGCGACCGTCTGACCAGCCAAGTCAACGGGGAAGCCGGATTCACTTAACAACCATGTGACTAACTTAATGACTGCAGGGATTCGCTTAACGATGACGGCCCGAAAGGTCATAAAATGGGGCACAACTCACTTAACAATTGTCTTTGTTGAGTAACAGGGATTTTTTAAGTTCAAATGTGGCTGTTTACCTGTAAAGATGCAGGTTGTGGGAGTATTGGGGTCTTAGCAGTTGTTCCCTCATAAGCTGTCTATTTTGCAGGGAGGCTCTGGATTTTGTGGTGCCCTTTGCCGGGAAGGTTGCAGGAACCGGGCCTGGCTAGTCTAGGGAAGAGAAGGACCAGGGGAGACAGGATAGCAGCCTTCCAGTATTTGAGGGGCTGCCACAGAGAAGAGGAAGGAGGTCAAGCTATTTTCTAAAGCACCTGAAGGAGTAGGAAGAAGGAAGAATGGGTGGAAACTGATCAAGGAGAGATTCAACCTAGAAATAAAGAGGAATTTTCTGACAGCGAGAGCAATCAACCAAAAGGGACAGAATTTGCCTTCGGAAGTTGTGGGAGCTTCATCCCTGGAAGGTTTCAAGAAGAGACTGGACTGCCACCTGTCAGAATGGTGTAGGGTCTCCTGCCTGGGCTGGGGGTTGGACTAGATGACCTCCCAGGTCCCTTCCAACTCTGTACACCTAATCTAATCTGAAATAAACAGTACCACAATCAAGGAACTGCCAACTCAAACAAACAAGTGAATAGCCTAATGAAGGAACCACCAGAAATATTCCCACCAACACTGACAGGACAAGCCACAAGTATACAAAACGAGAGCAAACCCCACTCCCCTTCTAGCACTGATGATGTTACCTAGTTGGGTAATGAAACACCTGCAAGTTCAGGGACCATCAACGACCCCACAGAACGTTGCTTTTCATCCAAGAAATTCTCCCAACAATGCTAAACGTAATTTGTCTCATCTTAGCAAATCCTCCTTGATTTCGTTCCACGTCTAACATAATTATATGAAGAGAAGTGACTGGACTTTCCATCTGTCAGAAATGGTGTAGGGTCTCCTGCTTGCACTAGGTGTTGGACTAGATGACCTACGAGGTCCCTTCCAACTCTCTTCATCTGTTAAATGTCTCCATTCCCCTCTTCCTGTAATTCTGTTCTGCTTGGTGGTCCTCCAAGCCAAATGAACCAACAGCAAAGGGGAGGGAAACAAAAGTCATTTAAGGCAGTGGTCGCCAACCAGTGGGCTGGGAACCATTGATGGTCCGTGAGAAAATTTTGGTGGTCCACAGAGAAATATCACCTCCAAAACACCCCCCCCCCAATAATTAATCCATGCTGTGCAGGAACACAAGGCTTGCATCGCTTGCATTGAGAACAACACGAGGTAGTGAGGGGAGGGGGGAAAGGGCGGAGGGGGGGAACTTGCCCCACTCGCCTGGCCTGGCCACTGGGCTGCTTCTTTCCGCTTCTTTCTCCTTCTGCTTTTGGCTGCACGCAAGGAAAGCAGCAAAAGTCTTTCTTTCTCTCCCCCAAATTCCACCAGAAATGAGAATTTGGGACCCTGCAAGGCCTCCTGCTCCAAGAGGCTGCGCCAGCGCAACAAGTTTCACAAAGACTCATTTCTGGCAGAGTTTGGGGGAGCGAAAGAAAGACTTCTGCTGCTTCTGCTGCTTTCCTTGCATGAAGCCAAAAGTCAGTCAGTCTCTCTCTCTCTCTCTCTCTCTCTCTCTCTCTCTCTCTCTCCCCCAGAGAGAATGGAACTGAAGACAGTAAAGAACGATCGAGATTGGTAGGAAAACGGGGTGGGGAATTTTCCTGCAGACTTTTTTGGGGATTTCCCAGGGTCTCTGGTCTGTGGGATTTCAAATTATGAGTTTGGTGGTCCCTGAAGTCCAAAAAGTTGGCGACCCCAGATTTAAGGGACTCTTCTGACACCGATTCTTCGTGGCTGCCAACCCTCTCGTTTCACCTCCGATGACTTACACGTGATGCTCAGCTCGTAAAACCCGTGTAGCAAAGGTGGGGACATGATGCGCGGTGTGAAATCCCCCAGGCCGATGGTGCTGAGCGAGATGAAGCAGAAGTAAACGGACTCCAGGAAGGTCCAGTTGTCCTTGAAGATCCAAAAACAGACAGCTGGAATCAAGAGGAAGAGGGTCAGGGTGGCCAGCCCCAGCCCAATGGAGTGGCCTATGGCCACGTGATCCCGTGGCAAGCCCCAACGGCTGTGAATGTATTGCACCGGCCGGTACGTTAGGATGGGCAACAGGTAGCGGAGTAAACCTCGGATGAAGAAAATGGTCACCGGGATGCCCACAAAGCAATAAAGGATGCTGATGATTTTGCCCCAGTCCGAGAGGGGAACAATGTTTCCGTAACCTAGAATCAAGAGCAACGGAGAGGATTAAAAGTTTGGAGGCTAACAAACGCTTGGGGTTGGACTGGATGACCTACAAGGTCCCTTCCAACCCTGTTCATCTGTTAAATCTACAATGAACGATTGTGGGAACTAGATAGGTCAACTTCAGGGGATTTCCACAAAGTTGGCAGCTTTTAAGACTTGAGGACTTCAAGCCGAGAATTGCTTGGCTGGCAATTTTGGGAGTTGAAATCCACGAGTCTTAAAAGTTAACACCCTAAAATAATGCTATGCTGGCTGGGGGATTCTGGGAGTTGAAGTCCACAAGTCTAAAAAGTTGCCACCTTTGGGAGAGTTCTGGTGTAGTTGAATGAAGAGAAAGGATTAGGGGGAAACGGGATAACTGTATTCCAAAACTTGAGGGGCTGTCAACAGAGAAGATAGAGTATAGGGTTTCCTGCCTGATCAGGGGGTTGGACTAGAAGACCTCTAAGGTCCCTTCCAACTATTCTATTCCTATTCTATTCTATCCCATCTCATCCTCCTTTCTTTTCCTTTCCTTTTTCCTTTTTCTTTTCATTTCCTTTCATTCTATTCTATTCTATTCTATTCTATTCTATTCTGTTCTGTTCTGTTCTGTTCTGTTCTATTCTATTCTATTCTATTCTATTCTTCTATTCTATTCTACTCTACTCTACTCTACTCTACTCTACTCTACTCTATTCCTTATTCTATTCTATTCCTTATTCTGTTCTATTCCATTCCATTCCATTCCATTCCAATCCAATCCAATCCTAACCTATCCTATCCTATCCTATCCTATCCTATCTTATCCTACTCTACTCTATTCCGATATAATCCATTCCATTCCATTCCATTCTACTCTACTCTATTCTTTATTCTGATATTCTATTCTATTCCATTCTATTCTATCCCATCCCACCCTCCTTTCCTTTCTGTTTTTTTTCCTTTTTCCTTTCATTCTATTCTATTCTATTCTATTCTATTCTATTCTATTCTATTCTATATTCCGATATTCTATTATATGCTATATTCTGATATTCCGATGTTCTGTTCTAGTTTATTCTATTCTCTATTCTATTCCATTCCATTCCTTTAACACCTGCAGCGATTCCCTTAACAAATATGGCAAGAAAAGTCATTAAACAGGCAAAACTCACTTTAATAAATGTCTCACTTTATTTTGGGCTCAATTGTGGTTCTAAGTCAAGGACCACCTGTGTTACAAGTGAACTTTTGTAAATATAAAAAGATCTCTCTCTCTTTCCAGATAGGTGTGTAGGAGTGTCAAAAGGAGCAAATTATCCCCACCTGGAAAAAATCACCATGGAGTTGTTCTTAAGGCCTTGATGCAGTTTGATGTAATTTGGCGTGGCTAAATGCCAGAAATGTTACTTTGCTTCTCCCAAAAATAATAATAGAGGGACATGATGCCCAGCGGGCCTCGGTGACCTTCAACAGAATCTGGCTTCCCACTTCACTTGGTTGGGCTGAAATGCAACCACAATCGAGCCCAAAATGCTTGTTACTGAGCAAGACAGTTGATAAGTGAGTTACTCCCCGCTTTACGACCTTTCTTGCCACCGATGTTAAGTGAATCACTGCAGTTATCAATCTGGGCTGATGGGTTAACCTCTGTAGCGAGTCAACTAATTCCCTCTTGGGCAGGGGGTTGGACTAGATGACCTACAAGGTCACTTCCAACTCTGATTATCTGTTATTATCTGTTGGTTAATTTCTGGACTGACTTTCTGGAAAGTCCTCGACTTAACAATCCCAATGGAGCCCAAAATTTCTTTTGGTAAGCGAGACACTGAGTTCTGGACTCTCCTTCTGGAAGTCCTCGACGTACGACCACAATGAAGTCCAAAATTTCTGTCGCTAAACGAGACACTGAGTTCTGGGCTCTCTTTCTGTAAAGTCCTCAACGTATGACCCCAATGGAGCCCAAAATTTCTGTTGCTAAGCGAGACATTGAGTTCTGCCCCATTTTACAACCTTTCTTGCCAGAATTGTTAGGTGAATCCCCTGTAGATGTCAAGTTAAAACACGGTCGTTAAGTGAATCTGGCTTCCCCGTTGACTTTGTTTGTCAGAAGGTCGCAAAAGGGGGATCACATGGAAAACTGCAACTGTCATAAATGCGAGTCAGTTGCCAAGTGCTTGAATTTTGATCATGGGGATGCTGCATAACGGTCATAAGTGTGAGGGCCTCTCCTAAGTCACTTTTTCCGGTGCCGTTACAACTTCAAACGGTCATTAAATCAATGGCTGTTGGGTCAAGGACTAGCTGTATCTCAAGCTGGCATTTAATGCCAAGGGCCACATCAGAGAAAAAACATGGCATCTGACATCGGCCACCTTTAAGGGAAATAATTCCAGGCAAGGACATCCGTTTGTTTGTTTTTTCATTTTGAACCTGTGCATTTCTCAATTTTGATGAGGGTTGCAAGAAACAGAATGCAGTTTATGCCTACTGCATAAGTAACTGCCTTAATGCAAAAATCTCTAGGATAGGATAGGATAGGATAAATATTGGAAGGAATAGAATAGAATAGAATAGAATAGAATAGAATAGAATAGAATAGAATAGAATAGAAT